AAGAGTGTGCAAACATCATCCTTCAGACTTATGGGTCAAAAACAGGAGTTGATTATTATAACTTTTGAAGAAAAAGGATTTGAAACAAACTAATGTCTTCTGAACATCTTTTGTTGGACCAGTTATAGAAGTAACCACTATTTTATAGCCCATGTATCTTGCTTTACATTTTTACCTGGACTGTTTCTTCATCAAAAATAATGATAGTTTGTTCTGAAGACAGACTCTTGATACTAAATTACACTAGAAATTAGGAATTTGAAATGAAAGAAATGGTGTTAAGTGCATTATTGTTTTTTTCCCTTCATCCTGCATTTCCAGCAATTTTAGACTATTTTAGTCATTTACCAGCCTGCATCTAAAGAGACAACCAGATTGTACTTGTTCTTCCTTCCTTTACCCATGTACTAAAAAGAGATATGCTGAATAACTAAGGTTTGGTTATACTCAAAATACTCATTTTTCCTTTATTCTAAATCAAGATCAAGAGATAATTGGTATATCATTGATTCCTAAATTTTCTTGATGATGTTTTTTAATGGGTAGCAAAACATTTTCTTGACACAAACACATAATTCTTGTCTGTCAGTGTTGATTACAGTGTACTTTTCTATATTACATGATATTAACTATATAGGACATGAATTAATGAATTATAGTACATTATTCCTGCAGAACCATTTAAAAAAGTGAAGATGCAGTGTTGGCTGCCTCCAATGTCTAAGCACAGTAAATGCAAAAAGGGGGATTTAGCAGGTCCCAGTTTTTACTTTTTAAAGGTAACATATATTTGTAAATTGTTTCTCAAAATTTCTGTAAGAAACTGGTAATGGTTGCATCTGGAGAGGGAAGCTTCTGAATAGTAAAAAGTAAAAAAAAAAAAAAACCTTAGTTTTTAAATACAAAAAAATTTAATATAGAAATTGCTACAGTGCTATCATACATTACTTGTGATATTCACCATTTGCTTTCTCTTCCAAATTTCATTTTGTGGTTAATTTTGTGACTGTTCCATTGTTCTTTTTGATAATATGAATTTGCCATTTTTTTGCCAATAAGAAAATATTATTAATGAGTAAAAATGTAAGTTTAATATAAACATGTAAATGGGCTAAGATGAGTTGTATCTGGTTAGCAGAATGTTATGACTGCTGTCATACTTTTAGCATTTATATGTCATTCAGAAAGTAATGATTGTTATACAGATTTAAAGAAATTAATATATCTTATCACACATTTCTGATATATACAAAACATGACAACAAGATTGTTTTATTGCTTTTTTCCCTCTGAAAATGCTAAGTGGACTCAGACCATTTAATATATTACCGACAGCCATCATGAAACACCAGGAACCATCAGTGGTTTATGGTTAAAGTTTAAGAAGCTCTGTATGAGGTGATTCTGCAACCTCTGTTTCTCTAAAACAGTGATTCTTCAATAGGGATATTACAGTCGTTTACATACAGGACTCTACTCCAGAATCTCAAGCTCCATCATTAAAAAAAAAAAAAAAAATTCTTGAGTGATTTCTTGATTATAAACCATTCAAGTGGTAACCCTATGTCTGTATGACTGTCTTCTTCCTTTTTCAAAGTTTGGTACTTTTTTAGTGGAAAACATGGAACTGTATCTGGAGTCTAGGGACTGTACAGTGGCACAGTGGTAAAAGACAGCACTCTGCAAGGCTGACCCTCACGAGAAGGTTCCAGGTTCATGGCCAGAAGACCTCCCCTGGACCTAAATACACCAGGCATGTATGTGCCTGTGATCCAGGGCTGGCTGAAACTGGGGGTGGATCGCAACATCAAGACCCTGTTGAGGATACACATGCAAACTCCCCCTCTGACTCTCTTTCTCTCTTTTGATCATGAAAGAAATAAACTTAAAAAAATCGTCTAGGGAACCAGCAGTTAGCGTAATGGCTATGTCCCTGGACTCCCACGTAGTCGACCGCAGTTCGCATCCTGGATCGGGTGGCTTAAAACTCACGCCGGGCGCATGTGCGTGCGTGCCCAAGATCCCGAGAAGAGAATGGAGGAGAAGTGATTGCGGTGTGAGCATCCCCTCTGGGGGATGATTTCTCGCTTTCTGTCTCTATGTCTCTCTCTGTCTGTCTGGTGAGCACACGCGCCCTATAGTGAAAACCTCTCCAAAAAATAGTCTAAATGTTTAGTGGCTTACTATGTTTCTCAGTAGTGCACAATGCCAAGGAAGTGTGTGTTTTGATTGTCATAGTAATTGGGGAGGACTACTGGCATTCAGTGGAATGTTGGTCATCTTCCAACATGTGAGAGAATCATGCACAACAAAAGTTATCTCATAGGACTTTTGAATATCTTGTCAGACTAAATTCTACAAATATGAATCACTCATCCTCTAGCATATTATACTGACAACTGACATATCTTTTTTTTTTTTTTTTTTTTTTTTTTTTTTTTTTTTTGCTATAGAGTGCTTGCATTTGCCAGAGAGAGAAGGAAAGTGAGTAAGCATCACCCAGTAAGGATGGACATGTCACAATGCCTTCTCCTCCATTCTCTTCTCAGAATGTGGAACATGCACTCAAAGTGTTTTCCAAGCCACTAGGTTCAAGACTCAACTATACAGTCAGCCATGTGAAATCTAGCCATCTTAACCACCATACCACTTGCTGACCCCTGATACATCATTTTACAAAAGTTACCCAAAAGGCTCACTAACTTCATCTTCAGAATTGCATACTTTAAAATCTCAAATCATAAGTTACAAATTTGTTTACATATTTCTACAATTTATTAATTTTATTATGAGATTGGAGTAAGAATAGTAAGAATTCTCTGGGGAAAAGCACAATGTTCTTCGGATTCATATTGCTTTTGATTTTTTTTTTTTCTAGAAGGGCGGTATATTCAATTTGCAAAGATTTCACAGATTGTTAAAGAAACATTTAATCAACTAATTTCTAATCATTCAGAATATCTGAAATGTAGCAATTCCTTGGCTGCTTTTATAATTGAGAGAGGTAAGTTCCAATATTGGGATGTGTTTGTGGAAAAACTGGTATCTTATAATTTGATCTATACTGTAATAGTGTTAACTATACTTGCTCTTATTGACAGTGCTAGTACATTGATTTGGAGTAACCATTTCTAGTAGGTGTAGGTCATTAAACATGTAGGTTCTCTAAGGTAGATAGAAAGTATACTGACCAATAACCAATAGAATACAAGAGAATGGTAAAAGACCTAAAACATCTTAAACCTTAACTCTGCTGGAGCTACTGCCATACTGAAAGCTAATCCTTATTATGACAAACATTGAAAAGGGGGTTATAAAAATTAGCATATTTTCTTAATTTTCAAGTAAGATTAAAATATGTAAAATTCTTGTGGCCATTACGTTGCAATTCTAACTATGTTTTTACCTTTTGTTTACCCTTTAATCTTCTGAGCTAATCATTAAATGAGGTTTAGATTAATCTTTGCATTAGATATTATGCAAATGGAGCATGCCTGTTCTTAAAATATTGAAATGCTCCAAACTCTGAAACTTTTTGAGCTCTGAAATGCCACACAGTTGGAAAAGTCCACACGTAAACTCGTGTGATAGGTTGCAGTCAAAATGCTGCAATGCAAAAATACTGTATAAAATTACCTTTGGTGAAGTGTAAGGCATATATGAAACAAATGAATTTCAATTTTTGAGTAGGTTTCATCTTCAAGATATGTGTGTGTGCATATGTGTGTGTGTCACAACACACCTAGTAAAAGACATTTCAGATGAGTATATTCAACTATTAAATGATAGAATATCAGATTTGGTTCTTGGTCTTAAGATTTTATGCTCAACATGAGAATAGAAAATACAAATATTCAGGTTGAAAGACTAAGATGATAAAAAATGAAACTTGTTTTTTGTAATGCAAAACACATGAACATTTTTATGAGATATCAAAGGCTTAAAATCTGTTAGAACAGGTGACACTTAAGCTGTAACTTCAAGGGTACATAAGGTTTAGATAAATAGAAGAAAGGACATTTGTGAAGTAAAAAGAAAAAACATGAAGAAAGAGAAGCAGTGGGAAAACTATGGGACAATGGGGAGGTAAGTTTATTGCTAAAAAGAGTAGTTTATATCCAGGATGTACTACAAGATACCATTACATTGCTAAGATGGTGCCTGATTAGAAGTGGCTTAGAGGGACCAGCAGTTAGCGTAATGGCTATGTCACTGGACTCCCACGTAGTCGACCGTGGTTCGAGTCCTGGACCCGGTGGCTTAAACTCACGCCGGGCACATGTGTGTGCGTGCCCAAGATCCCGAGAGGAGAATGGAGGAGAAGGGATTGTGGCGTGGCCATCCCCCCTGGGGAGTGATTTCTCGCTTTCTATCTCTCTGTCTCTCTCTGTCTGGTGAGCGCATGCGCCCTATAACAAAAACCTCTTCAAAAAAAAAAGTGGCTTAGAGTGGCATAGGACCTATCACAGTTAGATTTAATAAAATTAGTAAAAATCTCTGAAAGATTTTAAACATAGAATGTGCTGTAATTGTTGGGTACATTATCAGTCTGCTTTGCTACTTAATTTTTTTAGGCATGTTATATACTCAATAGCTCTATGCTTCAATTTTCCTCTCATTTCTTAAGACGAGGTAATAGAAACAGTAACAATCCCTACTTCGTGGGGTTGTTCAAATATAACAGTTGAATTAAGTAGTACAGACCTTGGTGTTTAGTAAAATCTTGATAAATTGCACTTGATTAAGGTACATTGATGTCTAAGCAATACTTGACAATTTTTTAAAAAGATTACAGGGGTTGAAACTTAATTAGGGAATCACAACAGGTGGTGTGATTCATTGCTAACTTTAGAGTTGAACATGATCAGGAAAAGAAAATTATATTTTTAAAACCATGATGTGATAAGATGAAAATGACAATAAATTTTAGATGAAGTGAAATGAATGAAAAGAAACACCATTATTTCAAGTTTACGTAGGAGAATAGTGTTTTCATATACTCAGCTAATCTGGAAGCTGGTGTGAAGTTGGGTGGGGGAAAGCAGGGGTGAGAAAAATAGATATGGTTTTAGAAAATATGAGTATGAATGTGAAATGGGACGCCTCAGTGAAGTCAAATGAATGTTCTTAGAGAAGTCAATAAATTTCTTAGAAACCTTTCCTCATTTATTTAAGTGGGTTTGTAAGATGCTGTCAAGTCCAAATATTCTCTCCCTTATCACCAAATCTATATACTTCCCTGCTTTTGTCTCTATATTCTCCTAAGAGAGGGAGAATCTCTCCCGTTGTATACTAATTATTTCACTTATGCTCTGATTTTATTCCCTCTGACATCGATGAATTCCTTTCAGTTATCTCTTTTTCCTGAATTATCAAACCCAAGGATCTCTCCGAAGCATTGTACGTGTAGTTACAGAGTTAAGAAAGAAAGGGAGTTTTTGGTTACACTATTGCCCATTGTAATTCAGAGCTTTCATCATCATTCTAGAACTTAAACTGACACTATAGAATTTATTTAAGGGAAGATTTACAGACCTGGTTATTGAGTCAAAGTCAGCATTCAAAGGGTCACGTTTGTATCCTAGGGATGAAAGCAGTCTGTGCCGAGGTGTTTCTGAATATTTTGCTTTCATTTCTCCAGTATTTTGGAAAGTCTAGCTTCCCAAACTTCTGTCCTAAAAATAAAATAAACCATTATTGGGTACCAGCAGATGGTGCAGTGGTTATGTCACTGGACTCCCACATGGCCAACCATGGTTCGAGTCCCAGATCCAGCGACCTCAAACTCAGGTGGGGCGTGTGTATGGTATGCCCAAGATCCCTAGAGGAGAATGAAGGAAAATAGAGTGCTGTGGTATGGCCATCCCCCCAGGGAGCAAATTCTCATTTTCTGTCTTTGTCCAGGGAGTGCACATTCCCTATAGCAGAAGTCTCATAAATAAATAAATAAATAAATAAATAAATAAAGCAAAGCCTTTCTTTAAACCTTTTGCACCTTCCTACTTAAATCCAAAGTTATTGTTTCCTTGGGTTTATCTGAACTTCATGAAGAAGCAATTTACAACCTCTGTATCTGCCCTTAATGCCTATTTAGCTTTATTCTCTACTATTTCTTGGAAACTGTTCTTGTCAAGGCTACCCACTGTCTGCACATTGCAAATTCCAAGAAGTTTTGTTACTTATTCATTCTGCTTTCCAGAAACATCTAACATCTGTTTGACACATCTTTTTCTATCATACCAACATTTGCCTGGTTTACTTGCTCTTTACCCTCCCCTCACGACACTTGCCAAATTTTAAGTATACAATACGCTATTACTAACTGTAGTCACCATGCTGTATATTAGGTCTCCAGAACTTAATTTTATAACTTCAATTCTGTACCCTTTGACCAATAGCTCCCCACTTCTTCTATCTCCAATGTGCTAGCAAACACTACTCTGTTAGTTTACCGTTTTAGATTCCACATGTAAAGGAGATCAGGCAATATTTGTGTGTTCTTATGTCTAGCTTAACATGTCTTCCAGATTTATTTGTGTTATTACAAACGGCAGCATTTTCTCTTTTTAAAATGCGCATATATGTGTGTGTATACATATGCATCACAATTTATCTGTTTTTAAGGCTGTATACATATATACACACACATCTCACAACGACTACATATAAAGATAAATAGATATCAGAATGTATCTGTTTATCTGTTGATGCAGGTTGTTTCTGTACCTTGGCTATTGTGATTAATGCTTCAGTGAACATGAGAGTTAAGATATCGCTTCAGTATATTTTTTTCTTTCAGATATATGTACACTCAGAAGTGGGATTGCTGGATCATGTGACAGTTATTTATTTTTTTTGAAGAATTTCCATATTGGTATAATGGCTATACCAGTTTATATATGTATAAGAGCCCCTTTTTATCTCCATCCTTATCCTTATCTTTTGACTTTTTGATAACAGCCACCCTAATGTGTGACTAGCTCATGGTTTTGATTTACATTTCTCTGATGATTAGTGATGTTGAATAGCTTTTCATCTAAACGGAGGCTTTTTTTGTTTGTTTTTACTTTTATAAGAGTTATTTATATATGCTTGATACTAATCCCTTACTGAGTTTGCAAATATTTCTTCCCATTTCATGGGTTGCCTTTTTATGATTACTTTGCTGTACAAAAAGGAGTGGTCTTGAAATGTAACCCAAAATACTTTTTGCTACTTTACATTCATTAGCTTCCCATAGCTCTTTTGTAAAACCCACAAACTCTTCAGCATGGTATATGATACCTGTTTCTCCAGCCTCAGCTTATTCTATCCTCTCTACCCTCCTTACTAATAAAGCTACCCTAGTTTTTCTCTCAGCCCAGATGGTGCACACATGCTGTTTGTTTTGAATGGAATAATCTTTCTCTTACTCCTCACACTTCTCTCTCCTCTTGCTGAATGTTAAATTTCAATTTCTTAGGGAGGGACTCTGCTAGAGGTATGCATGAGGTAACTTAAAAAAAGAATTATTTATTTAATTTTATTTATTCATTTATTTATTTTAATTTGACCAGAGAGAGACACACAGAGAGGGAAAGTGAGAAACCAAGCCACCAGGTCTAGGACTCAAACCATGGTTTACCATGTGAGAATGTCCAGCACCTTAGCCACCACCCACCTGCTGGTCCCAATGAGGTAGCTTTTCACATATTATTCTTCATATCAGCCCTGTATTTGTTTCTTCAGAGCACTTATCACAATTTTGGGGATTTCCAATTTTTTGGTTATTCTTATATGTTTCTCCTACTACAAGCTTTATGAGAGCATGCCTTGCTCAACTTTTTACTCCTAACATTTACTTCAGTGCCTGGAACCTGATAAGTACTTTCATAGAATTAGTGAAATTATTTTAGATAGTTGCAGATGTAAAACTGAACTTTGAAAGACTAAAACTGGAAATTTTCTGAAATCATCAACACAGAAATAAAAGGTAGAATGAGGGGAATATGGGGTAATAAGCTAATCACTAGGCTATACAAAGGTCTCATAGTTAGGATGTGGGAGGAAAAAAATGGCCATTTAAATGGTTTATTTTTGGAATAGAGTTTCAAGGAAACTTTAAGTGGGGCACAGCAAAATGAATAGAGAAAAGCTACTGAAAAACATAATGAAGTTCTTCTTAAAAACAGTTTAAGTAGAACAGAAAAACTATAATTTTGTTTGTAGAAAGTTTGAGTGGAGGGCCAGCAGGTGGTTTAGTAGGTAAGATGCTCAATCCCACATAACTGGCTGAGTGCTTCAAGTCTCAGACCTGGTGGGTTGAAAAATAACATCAGGTGCATGTTCATGTGCACCCAAAATCCCTAAAGGAGAGTGGAGGAGAAGGGATTATGGCAAGACCATCCACTCTAGGGGGTATTTTCTCAGTTTCTATCTGTCCCTTCAGCAAGTGCCTGTGCCCTGTAGCAAATTTACAAAAAATATTGAATGGATTAACAGAAAATAGAGACTTTCATATAGTGAGCTTTTTTTTTTTTTAGGACAGAAGTAGAATGGCACACGGAATCTCTTAGAAAGTCACGTAACTCTATATGTAAAAGAAATCATGCATGTTTACCAAAGATATTTGGTGATTCTTTTGATTGTGCTAAGAATTTAGACGCATTAAAAGTATATAAGACATCTGCCTTTTTAATTGTATTAATTTAAATTGTTTTCTTCTGGGACCAGTAGTTAGCGTAATGGCTGTGTTGCTGGACTCCCATGTAGTCAACCGCGGTTCAAGTCCCGGACCCGGCGGCTTAAACTCATGCCCGGCGCGTGGGCATGCATGCCCAAGATCCCAAGAGGAGAATGGAGGAGAAGGGATTGCAGCGTGGTCATCCCCCCTGGGGGATGATTTCTCGCTTTCTGTCTCTGTCTCTCTGTCTGTCTGGCGAGCGCACGCACCCTATAGCAAAAACCTCTCCATAAATAAATAAATAAATAAATAATTGTTTTCTTCTTAGAAGACTTATATAAGACACTTACTGAAACCATAGAATTATTTTCCATATTTCCCTTCAGTATATTTTACTAAATTAAAAATGGGATAGAGGGGGACCAGCAGTTGGTGTAATGGCTATGTCCCATGTAGTCGATTGCGGTTCAAGTCCTGGACCTGGTGGCTCAAACTCATGCCGGGTGTGTGTGCGTGCATGCCTAAGATCCCGAGAGGAGAATGGAGGAGAAGGGATTGTGGCATGGCCATCTTCCCTGGGGAGTGATTTCTCGCTTTCTGTCTGTCTGTCTCTGTCTTTCTGGCGAACACACGTGCCCTATAGCAAAAACCTCTCAAAAAAAAATTAAAATAAAATAAATAAAAATGGGATAGAGGTGGGAGCTGATCATAGAGAAGAGGGAGGGAAGTTAAAATAACCTGCCACTGTTTACCTTTTTCTTTTAGCTGGGCAGCACGAAGTTGTAGCTATAGGCACAGGTGAATACAATTACAGCCAGTGCATTAAACCAAATGGAAGGGTGTTGCATGACACTCATGCTATTGTTACAGCACGAAGGTCTCTGCTAAGGTAAGGTAACATTTTTTAATGGCATCAAATTTTAATGCTTTCAGCTAAAAGTGACTGCATAGAAATGTCTTTTTATACAGATGAAGCTTTACTGATAATTGAGCCAAGGATGTGTCTCTTTGTCAAGCCTGATTATTTTACTTTTGGAAACCTTATCATAGTAACTGCAATGTGCAGTCTGTGAATTTTTTTGGCCTCTACTAAGACCTTGTGAGTCTGACAACTTGTTTTAAAGATAAAAATACCTTTATTTACTAAAGTAACTGCATATATAGCCTTAGATCTGCAACAAGTAGCCTTCGTCTTATTTCATTTTTGAATTAGCCATCCTTATTGAAGGGCAGCACCAGAAACCTAAACTGACATGGTCCATGCAAAGTTTACTGTATAGCAGAGTATAGATAAGGCACTCTTCAGACTGGCATACCTCAAAGAGAAATAGAGAAAGGCAGTTGAAGTAAGCACTCCTAGTTTCTTTTTCCAAACTTACTGGTTACTCTGCTGTTTATAGGAAGGATGTCTAGCAAGTGTGGGAGAGAGGCCAGGTATTGTTAGTATTTGAAAACATGTAGAGTAGGAAATGAGTGTAACCTACCATCATGGTAAACATTCAGTTCTCATAAGTCATTGAGCTTACTGTTTATCACCTTTTCAAATTAGATTTTCAAATACAAGAATAGGAAAATAAATCTATCACCCAGCTTCAACAATTATTAGTATTCTGCTGTTCTTGTTTAATTTCTGCATTCTTTTTTGTTGTTGCTGTTTCCCTTGCTGGAGTATTTTAAAACACATTAGATACATTTACCTGAAAAACAGAAGTAGGTATCTCTAATAATAAGGGGAGATTTTTTTATAATCTTAAAAATAAGGTATTAGAGAAGTCCATGAGAATATTGCAACTCATTATCCTTTTACTTGCCTTGTTGGTTTATGGAATTATTTGACTTCTTTAAAGTTATCTCTTTCATGTTATTTTTTCCCATGATTGGCATTTTTATGTACTGGGGCATAATTTTTTTATTGCATATTACTACTGATGTGATTTAATGGAAGTACATTTAAAAAAATTTAATAAGCAAATATTTGTCCCTGGTTTGATTAGTTGTAGGCTTTTCAAGAGCTCTTCTTTACTTCTTAATACAAGTTGTAGTGTTCATTGTTTTTGTTCCTCTGCTCTTTTTTTTTTTCCTTTAAAACCACTAAGAAACGGTAATCACAGGTCCTTTTTATTTTTAAAGTAGTAGTAGTTTGGGTAGGGAAGGAAAAATAGAAGTCAGGCAGAAATGTGACTTCACTTGGGAGACTGGGAACAGAACTGTCTGAGAAAGAAGGGAGGAATCAGCAGATAAATGGTCTTTTTCAGGTTATGACATTGAAGATAAGTACGAAATAGAAGTAAAATGGTAGTCTAGAAATGGTGTTTTAAGGCAGGTTACATGGCAGATGGGGCTCCAGTTGAGGACTTCTTGAAGGGCTTACTTTTTCATTAAATACACAAGGTTATTCTAGGAATTTTTAATCAATATCAGCACTTCAGACATTTGGGGACATTGTTCATGGCATGATTATGATGCTCATTAAAATATAGCTTTTAGGACCAGCATGTGATATGGTGGTTAAGGTGCTGGATTCCAATATGGCTGACCACAGTTTGAGTCCTGGATTTGGCAATTCGAAAATCATGCCAGGCACATATGTATGCATACCCAAAATACTGGGAAGAGAAGGGATGGCATGGCCATCCCCCTGGGTGATTTCTCACTTTCCTTCTGTTTCCCTCCAGTGAGCACATTGCACACTATGAGAAAAAGAAACAAAACCTTCTTAAGGAAATAGATCTTTTATAAATTGTATTACTTTATCAAGTATACTATTGCAAATCTTTCTATTTTTAAATTATTTTTAAATTGTTGAATGTATCATTTAGGTATTTCTATAGACAGCTTCTACTCTTCTATAGCAAAAATCCTGCTATGATGGAAAAATCAATATTTTGTACAGAGCCAGCCTCTAATCTCCTCACTCTAAAACAGAATATCAACATTTACCTCTATATGAACCAATTGCCTAAAGGATCAGCCCAGATTAAGTCACAATTGTAAGTATTATGAAAGTTGTTTTTAAAAGCAAGTAAGATGGCCTTGCCATATATTCTAAATCCCTAGAGCAAATAAATTTATATCTATCCATATTCTCCCTCTAGCCTTGAGTTGTTATTTGTGTCCTGTACAGTATGCGGGAATCTACAAATACTTTCCCACCCTTCCCACTGTACCTAACCTGTTACTGCAGTCATGTTGCCTCATAATGATGTTTTGGTCAGTAGTAGATCACATGTACAACTGTGGTCCTGTGGATGATAGAGCTGAAAAATTCCTTTCACCTAATGTTGTAGCTATTTAAATATGTAGTAGCACAATGCATTACTCACTTGTTTATGGTGGTGCTGATGTAAGCAGACCTACTGTGCTGCCAATATAAAAGCTTTGCACATATAATAGTGCGCAGTATGTAATACTTGATAATAAATGGCTGTGATGGATGTTTATGTACCTACTGTACTTTTTACCATTATTTTAGAGTTGCCTGCAGTATTCAGTATAGCATATACAGGTTTGAGCCTAGGAGCAATAGACTGTGCCATATAGCCTAGGTGTAGTAGACGGTACCATTTAGGTTTGGGTAAGAAACTCTGTGGTGGTCACACATGATATCACAGGAACGCATTTCTCAGGACATATTGTTAAGCCACACACGACTGCATCTAAGAATTTCATGTGCCTTACCACTTTCTTTCTTATGCTATTGCAAATCTTCATTCTTTAAGACTTCATAAAACATAGGAAAAAAAGAATGTATGCATTATTCATATACAAATACAAGAACTAAGAAAAACTTCATTGCTTTGATGAATGGGTAGCATCAGGTAGCATAAAATGTAAATATTACAGACAAGTAGAAACAAGAAAGTAAAATTCATCTTAAGTACCTGACCATCTAATGATATCCATGGATACTATTTTGATCAGTATTCTTCCAGTAATACCTTTGAAAATAAGGACAGTGTTCTCTAGACAGAAACTTCAAGAGAAATAATTTTAGATTTTATTATTTTAACATTTTATTCAAGATTAATCTTGAATAAGAATTGTCAGTTTTTTCCTTCATTCTCTCTCTTTGTAGTTTTCAGAAATTTTCCTTTAGAAAAGGAAAATAACTCACAAGCTATGATAGGGACAAAAATTAGTTTTTTGTTTCAAATTAAGACATAATGAAGTGATATATGAAAATTATACCAGAAGGTCAAAATGTGGTTTATTTCTATTTCATCTTAATCTCATAGAATAAGTCACTCTTATTCCTACCTTGCTTAATGTTTGTGTCTGTTTTTGGAATTAAGTGTATACTGGCAAGTTAAATATGTTAGAGAACAATCATTAGGTACAAATAGTTTTTACTTTGTCACCATTGTTTTTTAAAAGAGTAAACTTTATTTTCTTCTGTTAGACGTCTAAATCCACATTCTGTATCTGCATTTGAAGCCAATGAAGAGCTGAGTCTCCATGTGGCTGTTGAAGGCAAAATTTATCTGACCATTTACTGTCCTGCAGACGTTGTTAACAGAATAAGCAGTATGTCCTCAAGTGACAAATTGACAAGATGGGAAGTGCTTGGTGTGCAGGGAGCATTGCTGAGTCACTTTATACAGCCAGTTTATATCAACAGTATACTTGTTGGTGAGTGGGATTTCAGTATTTCCTGGCCTTTTTCACAAAGTAAATTCTCTGTTTTAGCCTACCAGTATAAAAATCAGCTTTTGCATACTGAAACATTATTTAAGATAATAGCATAGACCCATTGTTTTATTCAGTTGTTCATTACATGGTAACTCTTAGATACACTAAAGATGACAAAATTTGTATGTTATCAGGAGGTTAAGAATTAATTTTTTATTTAACCAGTTAGGTTCTGTCTTAAACTTAAAATTTGGCCTGCACAGTATTTAATCCCCCTACCCACCCTTTCTTTTAGTAGAAGATACTTCCTTGAACTTATCAAATCTAGAGATTTTATTTATTCCTCTCTGAAATAAAAAAATGGTAACTGCCCATTTTGGCTCTTTTTTTATTGTTTTGTTTTTAAAAAGAAAGGAAAGGAGGAAAAATAGTTGTATTTACTCATTTGGTACCTCCTGTATAAGTTTATCTGCCCAAATACTTTAAGAATGTTCATCCAGAAGACTTTCCATATACTGATTCAAATTGTAGAATTGGAGGATATTGAATATCAAATGCTGATTCCTTCCTAGTGAAGGAATTCATTTTAAATATAGTTCATGGGCTTTAAAGAAGCAATAAAAAACGTTAAAGATTATGTTATTCAGTCCTCCCCACATCCCCAGATCACTAAATGTGGTTCAGAATGTTAATAAAATGCTTGCCCAAAGTACTGTAATATCTTACTGGTCGAGTTTAGAGTCAAACCCAGTTTTCATGATTTTTCATACTGCTGCAGTGGTACATTTTTTTATAAGGAGGACAAAGGGCTTTTTAAAAGAATTATTTTATATTAACTTTATTTATTATTATTATTTTCCAATTTGATCTGAGAGAGAAGGGAAAGTGAGAAAGGAATCACTAGAAGCCCCCAGGTCTGGGACTTGAACCACAGTCAACCATATGGGAGTCCAGAACCTTTAACCATCCACCACCTGCCAACCTCTGGTAGATATTTTTTGTATAAACTGCTGTCATGTCAGGTCTTTGAATCTACATCTTCTGTTCATTTTACATAAAATATTAGAATCTTAGATCTTATATTTCCCAATTTTTTTTTTCTGAAGTGTATCTTTAATTTGGCTAGCCTTTATTTACCAGTACTTCTTGATTTGGGACACTCAAAGGAGTGCTTCGAAAAAGGATGTTGAGGCCAGCAGGTGGCATGGTGATTAAGGCACTGGATTCTCACAGGACTGACCGCAACTTAAGTCCTGAACTCAGAGGACTTGAAAATCACACCAGGTGCAAGTACATGCATGCCAAAATCCTGACAGGAGAATGGAGGAGAAGGAATTGGGGCATGACCATCTCCCCCAGGGGTGATTTCTTATTTTCTCTGTGTCTTTCTCTCTGGTGAGCACACACACACAAACACACTAGCAAAAATCTCTTTAAAAAAATAAAGAAAAGATAAAGGATGTCAAAAACAACTCTTGTCCTGGGACCACCAGATAGTAGTAGTTGATCACTGTTTGAGTCCTAGACCCAGCAGCTTAAAACTCACACCAGCTACGAGTGTATGCATGCCCAAAAGCCCAAGAGGAGAATGGAGGAGGGATTATGATGTGGGCATACCCTGTGGGGGGTGATTTCTCACTCTCTGTCTCTGTCTCTCTGGTGGGCACACGTACCCTATAGCGAAAACCTCTTAAAAACAAACAAACAAACAAAACCCCCTCATGTCCTTTTTAAGTAATTTTCTAGTGCCTACATAAAATGAGTGCAAGTCCTAGTAACTAACTCAACAAACAGTGATATGGAAATAAAACTTTGTGAAACAAGTGCATATAAAGATTCTGTTGTGAAAACCTCTATCATCCTGAGAAATAGATTACTTTCAAATTATTTTTAAATTAGGAATTGCAGTGCTCTAACTTCTCTTTTAAGTTAGATAGAGCTCAGTATTTTGTATTAATGACATTACATCTTTATAAGATTTTTTTCTTTGACAACTATTATAACTGAGAATTCAAAACTTTGGGCGTTGCCTATCTTTTTTTTTTTCTTTTTTGGAGAGTTTGCTATAGGGCACGTGCGCTCACCAGACAGAGAGAGAGAGAGACAGACAGAAAGTGAGAAATCACCCCCCGGGGGTATGGCCACGCCGCAATCCCTTCTCCTCCGTTCTCTCGGGATCTTGGGCACGCACGCACAAGCACCCGGCGTGAGTCCCAAGCCACTGGGTTTGGGATGCAAACCGCGGTTGACTACATGGGAGTCCACGGACATAGCCATTATGCTAACTGCTGGTCCCTTGCCTATCATTTTAATCATAATAAGTTATAATACATTTTGTTGTGAAATTAGAATATTGTGGTACTGGAACAGTTGTAATTTGTGATTATTAGATGAGAGAAAGTAACTCACTGTCTCCAACTATTTTGCAGCCTGATTTATCAGCTAGTGGTGCTAATCCAATGTCATCAGAGGAAATCAAGACAGAACGAACCTATTTTTTTCTGGCAGATATTTGTAAAAAGTTTCTTTCTGAGTCAGCTCTAGCTTTTTGTTTTTATTTATTTCACTGACTTTTTAAAAGTTATTTTCTGTGTAAGAGTCATTTTTTTCCTTTTTTTCAGTTTTGCTTTAGGGTGCAAGCACTCTACTTGCCAGAGAGAGACTGGGAAAGGGGAAGGGATGGAGGGAGGGAAAGTAAGGCAGTGGGACTTGAGAAACCACCCCCCAGGGTGGATGGCCACACTGTAGTCCCTTCTCCATTCTCTTCTTGGGATTCTGGGCCCTCACTCACAAAAGCCCAGCATGATTTTCTTTTCTTTCTTTAATAAAAAAATATTTTTTTATTTAACTAACTAACTAGCTTGCTCCTTCCCTCCCTCCCTTCCTCCCTTCCTCCCTCCCTCCCTTCCTTCCTCCCTCTCTTTCAGTTTGATCAGAGAGGGACAAATTGAGAAAGCAAGCTGCCAAGTCCAGGACTTGAACCATGGTTGGCCATGTGGGAGTCCAGTGCCCTTAACCACCATGCCACCTGCCAGCCCCCCTAGTGTGATTTTCAAGCTACCAGGTCTAGGACTTGATCCACACAGTCAGCCATGTGAAATCCAGTTGCCCCAACCTCCATACTACTTGCTAGCCCATGTAAGGGTCTTTTTTGAATGGAAATTTTGACTGTTACATCAGGATTCTGATAAACAATATGGTGGAAATAGCTGCTGAGAGAGTAGAAGTAGAAAAGAAAAGGTTGAAAGATAAGGAATAGGTAAGTGGGCTTTAGATTATTTTCAGCATTTCGTTCTATTCTTTTCTTTCTTTCTGGTGTAGGTTTTTGATACTGAACTTCTGACTGTTGTGCTTTTGCTTTGTAGGTGATGGGAACTGCAGCGATACTAGAGGCTTAGAAATTGCTATAAAGCAACGTGTGGATGATGCACTCACTTCAAAACTTCCAATGTTTTACTTGGTCAACAGACCTCATATTAGTTTAGTACCCTCTGCATATCCACTTCAAACAAACTTGGAATACAGATCCCTGAGTCTGAATTGGGCACAGGGAGATATTTCTTTGGAAATTGTGGATGGACTAAGTGGAAAGATCACTGAAAGGTTAGAATTATGAATTTCCTTAAAAGTCATGTATTACTTTAGTGAAATAATAAAATGAGGCGTTTAAAAAATTATTCTAATGCTTTAAAAATCATGTAATGAATTCTGGACCATAATATTCATTACCATTACTAAGTGTAATGTTTTGCAGGCATTGTACTAAATGTACACGTGTGTGTGTGTGTCTGTGTGTGTGTCTGTCTGTGTATGTATTTGTTCATTTAATCAGAAGACAGGCCCGGAGAAATTATAGTTATAAAGCTTACTAAAGTTATATAGCAAGTGCTAGAGCCAGCATTCAAACCCAAGGAACCTGGCTCCAGAACTTGTTCTTTTCCAAGTATCATTCATTACTATTAGCAATTGGAATCATCTAACTTACCTGAAAAATTCCATTTCTTCTACTGACTCTGACTTTGGGATCTAGGGCTTAGGAATCTGTACTATTTGTACACTCCCCCAGATATTAAGTACACTTAAGTATACCCAAGCAGTAAATGACAGAGCTGGGATTCTGATCCAGATACATTATTTCTAAAGTCCTTGTTCCAAACCATAATATTCTGTGTGCTTTAGATAGTTTTTCTTATTACCCCTGCCATTAACTATCAAGTAAAAATAATACCAGTTTTTTAGTGTGAGCATAATTTTATAATGAGGCAAACAATGTTCACAGTTTAAATGCCTAAAATTACTTCCTTTGAAAGGATGGATTTATTTATTTATTTATTTTAGACAGATTTTTTTTGCTGTAGGGCACATGCACTCACCAGAAAGACAGAAATCGAGAAGTTACCCCATGCTGCAATTCCTTCTCCTTCATTCTCCTCTCGGGATCTTAGGCACACATGCACACACGCCCAGCATGAGTTTAAGCCACAGGGTCTGGGGCTCAAACTGTGTTTGACTACATGGGAGTCTAGTGACATAGCCATTACGCCAACTACTGGTCCCAAAAGGATGGATTTAAATTAAAACCTATATTTATGTTTGTTGGTATGAGCTTGGTGAAATATAACACTGATTATTTCAGCTAGGACGAATTATACCATTTATGCTTTGGATCAGCATAAATCCATGTTTTAGTGTTAATAGCAAACTTAACTATGCACATTCAAACAAAAATGACTTACAAAAGACATTAAAAAACTGTTCACTGAAAACATAAAATAATGCATGACAAAGATTAATTAATAAATGTAAAAGCTGAACTCATTTATTATGGTCAAATTCATTCCAAGTGATTACAAACATAAATAAAGCCTAAAATATAATCTAAATATTAGATAAAGTGTAGGTCAGTCCCAAAAGCATTGTAATAAGACAAATATACTTCAGCAATATGAAGAATATAATTTATAAGGAAGACAGAGCAGTTATGAATATGTAGCAAGTAACATTAATAGTATCAAATTCATAAAACAATTACAGAAGAGAAAAAAACAAACATACTACTAGTGAAGACAATAATTGGTAGATCAAGTAGACAGAACAGTAAACAAATATATAGCCATTTTAAATGACAGTAAGCTAAATTTTATTACTTTGGTATGCCACCATGAAAATATAAAATACACCTACTTTTCAAGAAACTGTAGGATGTTGACAGAAATTGACCATGTGTTAGGACACAGACACAAAGAAAATGTCTAATTCAAAAAAGTAGAAGCAATGTAGGTTCTGATTATCAAACTGTAACAAAATCAAAACACTGAATACTTCTTTTACAAGGTCTGCTACCCATTCTTTCTTAGAATAGTTTCTTGAAAATTCATTTAGGTTACAAAATATTTAAACAGCCTTTTAATATGTTTATTGTCTAACATGAGTTCATAAGTTTTGCTATATGTGTATATCTGTGTAACTATTGCTACAGTCAAAATGCAGCATATTTTCATCATCTCAGAAAGTATTTCCATGCTTCTTTCCGTCAATTCTTGGTAGAACCACTATTTTAATTTGTATCACCATAGATTAATTTTACTTCAAACAATGGAAATGTTGTAAATATAACTCTTCTGCATTAATTTTTGATGCACTACCATAATATCTTAAACTATAATTTAAAAATTCAACTCTAGGAAGTAAATATTCATAATGCTTTTTGTGTAAAAAAAAATTTTACTCTGTATTTTACACATCAAAATGAGATCAATAAATATTTATAGACTATTGATTTTAATTCGCACAAATGTCAACATAAATCATTGAGTAATGATTAGTGTTTATTTCTTCCTACTTTAGTTCTCCATTTAAAAGTGGTATGTCAATGGCAAGTCGACTTTGTAAGGCTGCAATGTTAAGTCGCTTTAATCTGCTTGCCAAAGAAGCTAAAACAGAGGATTTACTTGAAGCTAGAACATATCATGCAGCTAAGGTAAGTCCCTGAAGGAATGAAGTTAAACATTCTAAAATAAGACATTATTTAAGCTATCCACATAAGCTAATTTTTCTGTTTTAAAATTCTGAAAAAGTTTTCATGTCAGCCTCAGATTTCAACCTGGTTTAGCAGATGTTGTGGATAGCCGCCTTCTTTCTCTAAAAGTATTTGGTCTTTCATATAAACATAATATGTATTTAAGTAGAAAATGTAGAAAAAAATTTTAAATACAGAAGAAAAATACTTGTAATTCTATTATTCAAAGATAATACATTAACCTTTTAATGTGAGCATTGTTATTACAGTTTTTTCTGTGTATATGTATTTTTATTGCATACATATGAAAATATTAAGATTATATTACATATATTTTGTAATCTATTTTTATAGAACATAACAGGAATAGACTTCCATGTTATTATTAAATATTAAATACAATTTTTATCCTAATTTCAGTAATGATTCATGTGAAAGTCTCTTAATTTCATCAATAATCTTAATGCTCAAATGGTATAATTCCAATCTGTAAAGCAGTTATATTAACTACAGTTGTGTGTGAATAAGTATACACTTTTTAAAATTATATCCACATAATATATCTAGATAAAAGCTTATCTAGGCAATTTCTGATTTTGGTATCATAAAGAGGTTGGTTGCACATCTTCTCTATACAGACAAGTATAAAACTAGACAAAATTGTCAAAATTAAAAACTTTCACAACTCTGGAAAATGATGAAATGCAGAAAAAAACTTGAAAAAAGTGTATCTTGAAAAACTCCTTATAACTTGGATAATACTAACAGGAGTTAGCCTGCTTGCCTGAGGCTGTTCTGATTCTCTCTTCTTCCTCTCCACTAGTTTGAATGGCAGGAATTATAGTTTTACCAGGGTGAGGCTGACACCAAAAGCAGTAACTTTGCTGCCAGAGAGGTGGGCTTGATATGGAACAAGTGATGAAATTTTGTTGATGTCACTTCAAGTGTCAAACTTGATAGGAAATGAATGAGGGAAGACTGGTAACTTTACTAGCATAGAGTTATAGTCATGGTTGGAGTCAAGGAGTGGACCTACCAGCAACTTAACAAGCAGATTTTAGAAATGATAGCCATGGAAGGGCTAAGATAGATTCTCCATGTTTCCCTGGGTGACCGAAAAACTATACTCACATATGCAGAAAAGTCAGGAAATAGTGAAAGCCAAAGGATACTTTGAGAACTGGCTACTCAAGTTTTAACCAAAAATTATGGAATATATATTTTCAAATTTTTATAAAAATTTTAAAACTTTTTATGTGTAACCTATTCTCAGAGAAAATAACAATCAATAGAAACCGATTCTGAGTGGGTTCACATATTTAATTTAGCAAAACTTAAAAGTTGCTAATATAAATGGGTTTAAAGTCTTAAAGGATAATATGATGTCTCAAGAAATAGGCAATCTTGGTAGAGAAATATTAGAAACTTCAAAAAAGAACCAAATGAATACTCTAACATTTTAAATAATATAACTTAAATGGAAACTTCTCTAGATGGACATAATAGCATTTTTAAGATGGCAGAAGAGTCAGTGAACTTGTATATCAATAGAAATTATTTTGTCAATGACCAGAATGAACGTAGTTAGAACAACATGAACAGAGCCTCAGAGATTTGTGGGACAATGTCAGATTTACCAACACATGTGTAATAGGAATCCTGGAGGGAGAAGAAAGAGGAAAAAAAATGGTAAGAAAGGATAAAATCTGAAGAAAGGATCATTTTTTAAATTCACAAATTCAATGAAAACATGAAGATCCAAGTTCAGTGAATTCCAAGAAAGAAAAAAATGAAAAACCTTTACCTAGACACATTATAGTTAAATTGCTTAAAACCAAAGACAAAGAAAATATTTTGTAAGCAGCAAGAGAAAGATATTTTTCAAATGTAACAGAACATGTAAAGGAATAAATTTAACAAAACTAAGACCTATACACTAGAAGTGATGAAATTATGCTGAAATAAATTGAATAAGACCTAAATAAGTGGAGAGGTATACCATTTTCATGGATTGGAAAACTCAGTTTTCTTAGGATATCACTTTTCTCCAAATTGATAATGAAAAATCTTAGCAGGCTTTTTTGTAAAATTTGACAAGCTACTTATAAAATTATTAGGGAATTCTAAAGGACATAGATAAACCAAAATAATTTTTATAAAGAACATGGTTGGAAAACTTACCCTACTTAGTTTCCAGACTTACTATGAAGCCACAGCAATTAAGGTAACGTATTGCTATAATGATAGACAATGGTACGGGAACAAACATGTGGTCAGTTGATTTGTACACAGGTGCTAAAGTGATACAGTGGAATGAAGAATAGTCTTCTTAACAAGTGGAACTAAAAAAGTGAAGCTATCTGTGGGTAAAACAAAAAAGTTAATTTAAATCTTTATGTCAGTTTTACACAATAGTTCAGAATAGATCTTAGGTCTAACTATAAGAGCAAAAACTATAAAACTCCCAAATGAAATATAAGAAAATATTTACATTGTAAGGGAAAGATTTCTTAGATATGAGGTAAAAAGCATAATCTATTTTTAAAAAGATTATTTCATTCCCAAATTTAAAACTTGCTTTTCAAAAGTCATCATTAAGAGAATGAAAATGCAAGCCACTGTCTGGGAGAAAATATTTGTAAATCATACATCTGACAAAGGACTTGGATGCACAGTATGTAAAGAACTCTTACAACTCAATAATAGAACATACAATCCAGTTTTTGAAGTGACAAAGAATATATACAAGTGGCTAATAAAAATATAAAAGATTCTCAGCCTCCTAAGTGATTAGAGAGATAAAAATTAAACCACAGTAAGATACTACTACACACCCACACCCTCTAAACTCCAAAATACTGATCATTCCAGATGTTGCTGAGGATATGGCAAAACTGGGACCTTCATGCATTGCTTATGGGATGTAAAATGGTACAACCTTGCAAAATAATTTTGTGTTTTCTTATGAAGGTAAACATATACTTACTTTGTTATCCAGATCCAGCAATTCCATTGTTATCTATCCAAGAGAAAGCATAAATATATTTTTATTTTCACGCAGAGACCTGTATGTGAATGTTAAGACTTATTCACAGTAGCCAAAAACTGTAAACAGTTCTCATGTTCATCAGCTGGTAAATGCACAAACATGATCTGTGAATACAATGGACTATTAATCGGCAGTTAAAAAAAACTACTGATACATGAAACAACATGAATGAACTGGAAAACATTATGTTAACTGAAAGAAGCCTGACATAACAGAATACACACTGTGCTAATCAATTTATACAAAATTTTTAGAGAAAACAAAGCTCTAGAAACAGAAAGTAGATTGTTAGTTTCCTGAGGCTAGAGCAGGAGCCAGGAATACAGGTTGACTACATGTGATCATGGTAAAACTTTTTAGAGATAATAAACTTCGTTTTACATCTGGACTATAGTGATATTTACATACCTTTATACATAAGCTGAAATCATCAAAATGTCATTTATAGTTGATGAACTTATTGTATGTAAATTATAACTCAATAAAGATATTTTTTTAAAAGTTCATTATATGTTCATTAAAAAAAGGAAAGCATATCAAGATATTAATGGCACTCTGTAGTTTGGAGATTACAGATACTTTTTATTTCCTTATATTTTTTCTATTTTTCTAATTTTCTATAACCCTTTTAAATAAAAAATTTACAGTAAAATAAAAAATGAGGCACCTCCATGGAGCGGTGGTCAGATCCTGCATGACTGACAATGGGGTTCATTACTTGCCCAAAATCCTGAAAGGAGGGAGAAATGGAGGAAAAGAGATTTTAGTGTGACTATTCTCCACAGGGGTGGGAGAGCCAGGGAATGTTCTTTTTTCTCTCCCCCTCTCTGTCTCTCTCTAATGAGTACACACACAGCCTTTAGAAATGTTGCAAAGGAAATTTTTATCTTGAAAAATATTTAAAAATAGAAATTCAGGGGCCAGCAGGTGGTGTGGTGGTTAAGGTGCTGGACTCCCACATGGTCAACCACAGTTCAAGTCCTGGACCCGGCGACTTGAAAATCACGCCAGACACATATGTGTGCATACCTAGAATCCCAGGAGGAAAATTGAGAAGAAGGGATTATGATGTGACCCATCCCTCCAGGGAGGTGATTTCTTACTTGTCATCTTACTGTCTCTCTCTCTGTCTCTCCAGTGAGTCATGTGCCCTGTGGTAAAAATAGAAATTCAAAAAGTTTAAATTAAAAATTTTTATTTTGTTATCAATACATTATGTTAATTACTACAGCTTTAAAGTAAGTTTGGAAACTAGGTAGAGTAAGTTTTCCAACTTTGTTCTTTTTGAAAAATTTTTAATTTTTTAAATGTGAAGCTAAAGAAACAATATTAGGGATACTTATTTTTCATAGGTCAAATTCTACCTATAATTCAATTTTTTTTTCCTCCCTAGTGTATGTCTGCCTCCTATCAAGAAGCTAAAACTTTGTTGAAATCCTACTTAAAGCAACATGGCTATGGCTCCTGGATTGTGAAATCTCCCCGTATAGAACAATTTAGTATGTGAATTACGTAATCAATTGTCATATTAAAAATCTTTCATTTTTTGGTGTGTTTTGAGTAGTAAAAATATTTTTAAAATATTGGTGGTTTTCAACTTTCAAAATCAGAGTGTTTCAACAGCAATGTCCAGAGATTGCTGAAAATGTGTAAATATTTCTGTCGACTTACATTGAAACATTAGGGTTTTTTTCTTTTTTTGATAATTAATCACCTTGTTTAATGTGCAGCCATTTTGTATTCACTTTTGTATTCATTTTTACAGACACTATAAAGCTAATACCCTTTGTAGTTTAAAAGAGAATTTATTTTCCTTTAAGCTTTTGCTATTTATATGGCTATCTTTAAAGCTATATGGCTACTGAATTTTTTTTTTTTTTTTTTTTTTTTTTTTTTTTTTTTTTTTTTTTTTTTTTACTTTTAATTAAAAATTAGAAGGCAATAATAATAATTCCTATTTATTTGCTGACTAATTCAATAGACGTTTGAGGGCCTAATATTTGCCAGTCACTATGTAGAAGATAGTTACAAACCCAGTAACTAAAACATCTTCTTTGGGCCAGCCTGTAGCATGGTGGTTAAGGCAGCCCAGACACACATGACCAACTGTGTGATTGGAGTTTTATACCCAGAGGCTTGGAAAACACACTGGGCATGTGTGCATACATACCCCAGATCCTGACAGAAGGAAGGAGAAGGGATGCCAGCATGGCCATCTCCATGGGGGTGATTCCTCTCTTTACCTCTCTCTCTTTCTCTCTCTGTCTCTGGTGAGTGCATGTGCCCTATAGCAAACTATAAAAATAGAAAAAAATAGAGATGAATGATTGTGTTCAGTCATTTATGACTTTCAGGGATCTAGCTGAGCCCTGGGACAGCTGGAGCTTTGGACAGTCAACTTCCTGACCTCAGGAAGTTTATTATTTATCTCACTGTGCAGTAATGCTATTTTCTTATTTGTGATATGAGATGGAAGAGGTTAGATAGTACTGCTTTAAAATTTGGGGGACAAGCAGTTAGCATAATGGCTATGTCGCTGGACTCCCACGTAGTCAACCGCGGTTTGCGTCCCGGACTTGGTGGCTTAAAACTCACGCCAGGCGCATGTGCGTGCGTGCCCAAGATCCCGAGAGGAGAATGGAGAAGGGATTGTGGCGTGGCCATCCCCCCTGGGGGGTGCTTTCTCGCTTTCTGTCTCTCTGTCTCTCTGCCTGTCTGGTGAGTGCTCGCGCCCTATAGCAAAAACCTCTCCAAAAAAAAAAAAAATTGAATAAAAAATAAGATGTTGATTATGTTTTAAAGAAATGCCTTGGGGGGGTATAACAAACTTTTAGTTCTTTCTATAGTTTTAGAAAATTAAAATTTTTGAGTTGGGAGTTTTTTTAGCTATATAGATATTTCATTTTGCACATGAGGTAAACTGACATGACTAAGCATTTAAATTTTAAGGAAGACTTTAGATCAAACTTGTGAGTAATAACCTGAGTATCATCTGTACATAAAATGTGCAAATTCCTTGAAAACATTGGTGAGGACTGGATATGAACGTTGTCAAGTTTCATAACATGGTTAATGAAGTAACACTATAACTCTCAAATGCGAGTTTATTTTTTTTTTGAAAATGAGCTGAAATTGATGGTTCCTAGATAAAGATAATTGTTCTTTGATGTGAGAAAGGAGAAAGAATATTGTTAAGTAAACAGGAAGCATGCAAATTTCCTCTCCAGAAGCGTTTTAATGATACCATCCTATAATTTGACTTAAGATACAGTTTACCACTCCGTTGCTTCTTGTGCTTATATAGATGTCAAAAATAAATGGTTTCGTTTCGAGTTGCATCTCTGATGTAACTTCATATATGTAGATCCTTTTCTTTTCTATCGCTCTGTCCTTATGTCATTACCATGATGTTTTAATTCATATGCAACTTAATAGGAGGTCTTGATATTTAGTAATATGATCCTTCCAGCCTTGTTTTTCTTTGAGAATGTCTTGCTTATTTTAGAGTCTGTATTTTCTTAAAAATGAGACTCGTTTTGTTGGTTTCATGCCTCCCCTTTACACACATCCATATAAAATCTAAAGTTTTTAATGTTCTTGTTGAATGGACTCTTATTATTATGAAATTTTATCTCTAGTTATATCCTTTGCTTTAAAGTCTACTTTTTAACGTTAAATTTGCAATCTCTGGGGTTTGGTAGTTATTTCCATGGCATATTCTCTTTCCTTTTACTTTTAAACCCTTGTTCCTCTCTGTAAAGTGTTTTGTAAAAACAGTGTATAACTGGGCTTGATTTTTTAAAGAATTATTTTATTTGACTTTATTTATTTTAATTTGACAAGGAAGGAAGGAGAGAAAGGAAAGAGACAGTGAGAAAGCAAGCTGCCAGGTCTGGGACTCAAACTGTGGTTGGCTATGTGGGAGTCCAGCGCCCCTAATCACCATAGCACCTGCCAGCCTTTTGGGTTTGATTTTTATTTCATCTCACAGTCTTTTATTTTAAAAAAAAAAAAATTGAATAAAAAATAAGATGTTGATTATGTTTTAAAGAAATGCCTTGGGGGGGTATAACAAACTTTTAGTTCTTTCTATAGTTTTAGAAAATTAAAATTTTTGAGTTGGGAGTTTTTTTAGCTATATAGATATTTCATTTTGCACATGAGGTAAACTGACATGACTAAGCATTTAAATTTTAAGGAAGACTTTAGATCAAACTTGTGAGTAATAACCTGAGTATCATCTGTACATAAAATGTGCAAATTCCTTGAAAACATTGGTGAGGACTGGATATGAACGTTGTCAAGTTTCATAACATGGTTAATGAAGTAACACTATAACTCTCAAATGCGAGTTTATTTTTTTTTTGAAAATGAGCTGAAATTGATGGTTCCTAGATAAAGATAATTGTTCTTTGATGTGAGAAAGGAGAAAGAATATTGTTAAGTAAACAGGAAGCATGCAAATTTCCTCTCCAGAAGCGTTTTAATGATACCATCCTATAATTTGACTTAAGATACAGTTTACCACTCCGTTGCTTCTTGTGCTTATATAGATGTCAAAAATAAATGGTTTCGTTTCGAGTTGCATCTCTGATGTAACTTCATATATGTAGATCCTTTTCTTTTCTATCGCTCTGTCCTTATGTCATTACCATGATGTTTTAATTCATATGCAACTTAATAGGAGGTCTTGATATTTAGTAATATGATCCTTCCAGCCTTGTTTTTCTTTGAGAATGTCTTGCTTATTTTAGAGTCTGTATTTTCTTAAAAATGAGACTCGTTTTGTTGGTTTCATGCCTCCCCTTTACACACATCCATATAAAATCTAAAGTTTTTAATGTTCTTGTTGAATGGACTCTTATTATTATGAAATTTTATCTCTAGTTATATCCTTTGCTTTAAAGTCTACTTTTTAACGTTAAATTTGCAATCTCTGGGGTTTGGTAGTTATTTCCATGGCATATTCTCTTTCCTTTTACTTTTAAACCCTTGTTCCTCTCTGTAAAGTGTTTTGTAAAAACAGTGTATAACTGGGCTTGATTTTTTAAAGAATTATTTTATTTGACTTTATTTATTTTAATTTGACAAGGAAGGAAGGAGAGAAAGGAAAGAGACAGTGAGAAAGCAAGCTGCCAGGTCTGGGACTCAAACTGTGGTTGGCTATGTGGGAGTCCAGCGCCCCTAATCACCATAGCACCTGCCAGCCTTTTGGGTTTGATTTTTATTTCATCTCACAGTCTTTTATTTTATAGCAGTTTTTACTCCATGTATATTTGGTGAGATGACTGATGTGTCATTCCATTGTTTTCTAATTCCCAGTGATTTTTGTTAAAAATTTAGCTGACAATTTTATTGTTGCTTTGCTGAAGGCAATGGCTTCTTACTGGCTGCTTTTTGTTGTTGCTTTTTAGTGGTTTAACTGTAATTTTCCTGGGTATGGATTTGAGGGGTTTGTGTGGATATATTATTGGTGTTGTTTTGTATTTATTCTGTTCAGGTTTTAATGAGCTTCTTTAATGTATAAATAATGGCATTCTATTTGTTTGTGAAAATTATTATCATAATATTTTTTCTTTTCCTTTTATGACTTCAGTTATCTATATGTTAGATCTTATTATGTTCCTATGTTTTTGTACGTGTTTTGTCAGGTTTTTTTGTACATTCTTTTATTTTCTCTCTCATGCAGTTTGAATTTTTTTTATTGTCCTATCTTTAGAGCACTAATCCAGTTTAGTCCAGTTTTCTGCTACATCTAGTATGCAGTTAAGCACATTTAATGATTTCTCATTTTCAGATACTGTGTTTTTCATTTCTAGAATGTTTGTCTGGTATTTAAAAATAGATCCCAATTTTAAAGTCTATCTTTTAAAATTTAACTTTATTTATCCATTCCTGTAGTTAATTTGATCAGAGAGGGATAGAGTGTGTGTGTGTGTGTGTGTGTGTGTGTGTGTGTGAGAGAGAGAGAGAGAGAGAAGAGAGAGAGAGAGAGAGAGAGAGAACAATAGAAAACAAGCTGCCCAGTCTGGGACTTGAACCATGATAGGCCATGTGGGAGTCCAGTGCCCTTTACTACTATGCCACCTACTGATCCCAAAGTCTGTATCTTATAACTATATCTGAAACCTATGTTAGAGATGTTTATTTTTTCTCTCAGTTTTGAGGGTGTGTATGTGCATATGCATATATGTGTGACAGTGTGCCTTAATATCTTTTACCTGATGCTACATGTGGCCACATGTGGATGAAATACCGTGGAGGCTCTGGATTATGTTATCTTTGTCTAAAGTAGATTAAATTTTCTTCAGGGGGCTAGTAGAATTTGGCAGATTTCTTTGGTTCTGTTGAAATTTGGTTCCAGACTGATATTAGGACTGATATATTTGCCCTTATTCCAAGGTTTATTCACCTAGAGGTTTGGTACTTCTTTGTTCTCATCTTAAATCCTGACAGGTTTACTAGCCCCACCTCCATGGCAAGGCTTCAAATCCGTGTG